CCAGTCACAAGTCCCTTCACAGGCCCAGTCACAAGTCTCTTCACAGGCCCAGTCACAAGTCCCTTCACAGGCCCAGTCACAAGTCCCTTCACAGGCCCAGTCACACCGAGAGCTGGATATGCCGCTGGTTGCCAGTATCTGTTGTTTTCCCAGATTCAAGAGAGCATGCTTAGCTAATAACGAGAGACAAACCATGCTCATATGCAAGTGGCATGCATGCTCAGTGGATGGCTTGCAGTGCAGTGTAAGAGCAAGTTCTGCATAATTGCGTTTACGCTTCTTCTGTCACATCTTTTCCCCCCCTAAAAACTTGCAGCAAGTCCCACAATTCAATGGCAGAGACATCGTCACTAACCCAAGGAAAGGTCCCTGAAGGAGTCCAGCCAGATCTGGGCACAGCTTTCCATCAACAATCCAACCCAATCGGGGCTGTCACCAATGACTCAGAGGCTGGTGATCCCTGCCATGCTATGAAGAGTGCTGCTCTGAAGGGTATAACCAAAATAGAGTGTTGAAGTTGAGATCATCACAAGACCCGACACAAGACCAGTCACAAGTAACAGAGTGAACAGTTACAAAGGAATGCTTTTGTTGCAGTTCATTTGAATAGCTTGTGACTTGAATTCAGACTGGAGGTGTTGTGTTGGTCTTGTGTGGTCTTAAGTGGTATCAACTACAACATTGACAAAATACGGCTAATGTTGACCCTACAATGCCCCCCAAACAAAAAAACAGGTGCATGGAAATACTGCCCATTTTAAACATAAAAATGTAGTATTTACCACAGACATCTTTTCAAGAGGAAACTCTCAGATTAATGATGCTCTTAATCTCATCTTGTTTGCTTTTGCGGATCCAGAAATATTCCTCAATTTATGAACAAAAGCACTCAAAATGGAGTCTGTACAACTTTTTTCCAGAAAGGAGGGTGACTCAACAGCACATTCCAGTACAAACTATACTCTCAGTATCTCTTTTGAAGTCAAAGTGTAAAGGTGTAGTGCCTGGTTTATTTGTGGCCATCTTTTTGATCTGCCCACATCTCTACCAACAGAAGACAATGTGCCTGGAGCCGGCTGCTCAGAGAGGCATATGCAGAATAAAGTTAAAGGTACGAGAACAGTGACATCATCATTCGGTAATATACAGCATGGTTTGAGGGAGAGTAGCACAACTCACTACTACACTTTGCGTCAAGAGTTAGTCAAGCTGACTTACACCTCGGAACCAGTAATTCTCACCCTACTTTCCAGAAATATAACCATTGTGTATATGTAAATTTGTTTCTCTACACCTCATAAATATTCAACTCATAAGATGATGAAAATCTAGTATCGTACTCAAAGAGCTGCATGCAGAGTTCAATGTGTCATGCCTGGTAACAGGGTTGAAATAGTCTGGTGCCAGCACTCTTCAGTGTGTCTTTAATGCAGAAGTTCCAAGGATTAACGGTAAAACAAGGACTGGCTCCGTAAAGATTGCTTACCACGCTCAACGGTATGCATCTACTAGATGGGTTCAAGAGGGGAATTTTGGTATTACCAGGAAAAACTACTGCACGGCAGCGGGGTGGACGCATACTCACCGAGACGACGTCACCCGGGCACGTATTATTTGTACTGCCTGGACGCACGGTGGAATTGGCCAATAACTAACTCCAACTTGCTCGTGAATATTTATGAGGTGTAGGAAAGTTGTTTGCTCTGGACTTTGGGGAATTGTTCTAAATTGAAACCAACAACAAGGGCCTTAGGTAGTTTTAATTCTCTTCAATATTATGCTACAGGTGCTGGTAAACTCAGCATGAGACATTTTACAATGCATTTTTTGATCAGTTGATATGCCTGGATGAGCATTAACTTTTCATTTTCTACTCTGGTATCGCTATGTCAGGATGGGCAGGGAAGAAATCATTTTAGATTCAATTACTATGTAGGAATAGTTGAACCTTAGCAAATTAGAGTACAGTGTAACAACAATTTGGTCTTTTTCAGAGTTGATGTGTTTAAAAGCCTTGTTTGTCTATAAATAGACAACCTTCATAACTGTTTCAAAATTGATTGTAAGCAAACCAGTGCATTGCTGATCACAATTGTGTAGACCAATATTAGTGCACAAGGCTTTTCATGACCCAAATATTCCAATTGGCAGTGTAACTTTGGCATCTTTGCCAATGATAGCCACAGCATAATTGTTGGCAGTACAGGTCATTTATTTGGCTCTGCTTGGATGACGGACATCTGCAATCGAGCGGCCTGACTATTTTGGTCTAACATCTACTAATTTGTACCACTTTGTGCAGTATTTACATGATGAATGAAGAGAACACATTTCTGACTGAGAAAAAGAATCCTTTTTTACATTTATCTTTTGCGCATTGGTGTATCCAGATCGGTCCAGGAGGGGCTAAAGGTTTTTTTTTTCTAAAAATGAATGTTCAAATTTGTTCATCTGTAAAGAATCCTCACCACTCACCACAGAAAAAGTAGTGGTGCACATTTGTGATTTCAATTTCTTTGAAACAAAAACAGCAATATGGGATGGGGTAACTTTCCCACCCCTCACTGTATGTATACAATTAACTGCGTTCACGCAATCACTGTCTGTGTTATTTTGATATCAGCCATAGGCCAAGGAATGAAGGCAGCCTGTCTACAGTGGGAACAAGTGATGGTGTAAGTCATGTTTAAACCTTGACATTGGCAAAGAGTAGAGAATTCCAAAGCTTTTATGCCAGGGGTTAGTTTGTTGACTGTAAGTGGTTGGTTGTCGGCGTCTCCATCATGTGATTGACTTACAGTGTCTGTCTTTATTATTATCTTTATCAGGGCAAAACTTCCCTCCCCATTGGATCTGAGAAATGGATTTCCCTTGCTGTAGGCATTAAATGCAAATACCACAGAAAAATAGAGTCTTGTGTAACATGACATTCCTCTATTCTGTATTTACATGTTCCAATTTTGCACCTATTTTGAAAGGGGGGCGGAGCCGAAATAGCATTTATTAAATTTTTTTGTCATTACAACTCCGTTTCTGAGCCAAAGCTATTTAATTACACCAGTGGGTCATCCTCATTTTTGTCATTTTCATGAAGGTACAGAATGTCCTGTTTTCTTTCAAGATGTCCCCCCGAGAGTACCTTCAAAAGGGTGATGGCCAACCAACATTTTTCCTAGGAAGCCTACCTGTACCTTTTCACAGGAAAACCCAGCACCGACTCTCCACCCCCTCAGTCCCTCCCCTACACTATGTACACTCGTAAAAATAAGAACACAGATGCCCCCCATCCTATTTGGTAGTTAACAAATGTGATTTCGTCTCATGATTTCTCTCTCTCTTGCTTGATGGTGGGCATCTTGGCCAGTGAGAGCGAGCAGTTTGAGCTGCTGTGCCCCACAAGGGTAGAAAAGTTGCTCCAGGAGGCTAAAGCCATGGAGGCCCGCCTCCTCTATCAGAAGGAACAGCTTATCAACCGCCTCAAGAAACTCTCCCAGACTCTCCAGGTGCTATCTTAACTGTGTTCGGCTCAAGGGTTGCATGTAATCCAGACACAATCAACAGTTATGAATGGGGGCTCTAAAAGCAACCCCTTCAGTTGAGGTACTCTGACATATATCAAATTTGGCTCCAACTCTGGTGCCCAACCTCTATGTAAACGCAATACGGGGCCATTTCGCACTTACTCAAAATCAAACTCCAGTTGAATGTGGTACCAAACTAGTCCAGTGTTTAAATTTTGGAGATTTGAGAAAGGTATCTTACTTCAGAAATGCCTGTAGAAAGGGACGTTCTGTTGGAGCATAGCGTAAAACTTCCAAGTGTACAGTGATAAAACCTTACAAGGAATTAGTCCACCAATTAAATACTTCAGCATATGCGTACAGTATGATTTCAGAACACTACATGTTTCTGTGTGCAGTTAGTCAGGTCTCAAAGTAAAGCTTGATGTCCCCAATTTTTGAAGGCATAATTGTAACTGCTGTATAGTTCTATAAAATGTTATTGATTCATTCTGTGATGTTCATATTTTAGTATGAAAGGACATGTTTTAGCCTGATGTTAGTGTATAACTGTTGTTTTCAATTTGAAAGAATAGTATGTAAGTTTTAATAGCAACTTTTTCCCCCTGATTCAGATACATGAACAAAAACAAAAAGACTATCTTGCCCTTGTTCAATATCATCTTTTATTGCAGGCTTCTTGATACAACCAATTTTGAAAATTTTCACAGTTACTAAGAAAAGACAGTAGTATGATACAAATCCCTGGCATTATGTCCAAACTTTGATTAATAAAGTGACTGGATCGAGGAATGCTTCAGACCAATTCATGAAACATGTAGAATGCTGTTAAATGCCACTGGTAATGTGGCGTAATAAACCTAGACATCTTCAAGTACTTTTCCAGCCTATATGAAGCCACTTCTTAAATCTGCTGTAACATTTGTAATGAGCTGGTTTAGTATTCCAACAGTGCTTGCCCAAATGAAGTCCCTCAGAGTTCACTCGGAGACAGCAATTAATGCATACCTGCTTTGTTTTCCAATGACCTTTCCTGTTTACCATACCAAACTGGCTCGTTGTAAAGCTCATTTCTCTCGATTCTTTTCCGCACACAAATACACAACGTGTTTGTATCTTGCCTAAAGCAATATACACATTGAACTTGAAAACAAGACAAGTTGTGTATGGCAGCCACGTTTCTGGTAACCACTTTTGTGACACAGGGATAGCATAAAAGGCCTACAAAAGCTCTTCACGGAAAAATGGTTGCCATGCATAACCGCTACACTAAAAGTGCACTTACTGTAACATTCAAACCAGTTGCATACATTTTATAAGTGTGGCATGAGCCTCATTTCATGCAAAGACATAGGCTGTTCAGAGTTTCTCTAAGAACTGGTTAACATGTCAAAAAATTTCTAAATATTTTAATTTAAATAGACTGAACAACTCTTTGAGAAAAAGAATTACTTTCAAAAGTGTCTCCAAAAAAAAATCTGTGAAGTTTTCAGAACGTGAAAATTTATTCAAAATTGTAAGCGGAATACAAGGATGGTGCACGGAATTGGAAAGTACACATTTGGGTACATTGTAAAGGATGAGCATGGTAAACTCTACAGTGATGGCCTACTTCTTTATTCCATACATGTTCATATTGATTAAACCTGATATGAACAAGTTATCTGAAACCAAACCATACAAAAGATCATATGCATCTTGGCATGAACAGATAAAAAGCAGTTTTTAGCTTGTTATGGTTGACATCTAAAGACAAATGACACTGCATTCGATTTAGATGCTTCCATATTCATTTGAAAAAAAAAAAATCAGAGAAAACCTGTTTTCTTTGGCAGTGCCCTTTAAGAATGTGGTAACCCCACTCCTTCAGCCTGGGGAAGCAAGACCCTTGACCATAAATTTGGTAAGGTATGCTGCCTAAAAATTGTGCAAGTGAGATCTTTAAGCCAATGAGAATCTGGTTTGTTTCAGTGGGTTGCTTGGAAAAAGGGGTGGCATGATCTAGGCCATGCTCTCATTCTTGTCACAGTAGGATTGTATAATACGTATGGGGAAATTGATGCTTTTCACCTCGGATTGCCAGATTTGAGTCTCCACATGTGGAACCTGTTTACTGCTTATGTAGGGAGCGTGTGTAACCAGGTCGAGTTTTCGTATTCTCTACTCTTACCCGACACCGGTTCCTGCTAATTTTTCTTCTGTTCTTAGTCACGCTCCACTTTTCTGTACGTGAACGCTGTATGTAGTGCATGTACTGTGCATGTGCGCGGCGGCGTTTCTTTCTCGATCGCTTGCGCGCAAATATTTATAGCGCCCTCTAGCGATACACAAAACTTTTTTGTCACTGCGCGCGTCTCCAAAATTTAAGAATGTCGTTCTTTTGTTTAAATTCAATACCGGGCATTCTTGGGTGTCAGCTGCGTACCGGGCATTCTAGGGCGTCGTTGAATTAACTTGTAAAGTAACACAGTAGCAGAAGGCTGATTTCGATCCAGCTACAACAGCTACCGCACGTCGACCTGTTTGCTCGTGCATCTACACAGATTTTGTGCAGCACTTGCCATCATTTCTGCCGCACATGAATCATAAAGGTATGAACGGCCAGTCCCGGTGGTAAGTAGGTAGAACTTTTTTATGCTGTTTCTAATGCCATCGCTTAGTTTTATGCATTTGCCTTTTCAACTTGTGACTATGGAATGACTTAATATATCCACTCTAAAATAATGTCAAGTTTTCTTAAATTCCAGAAGACTGGTATTGATAGCATTCTCGTTAATTTGTCTCTTGAAATGGGTAAACCCTTGTGGCAATATGCTCTTCTTCAGGCTTAAATTAACTAGTGAATTTAATTAATCCAATAGATAGCATAATTTATTGGTTATTTAACTTTCTGTATTAATCCTCTGTATTTTGTCCTGGTGATTGCCATCCCAGCTACCACACGACTGTCGGTTTTTTTTTTTTTATATCTTGTAACTTTACCCTTTGTACATAGAATAAAACACGGTACATACAAGACAGAAAACTCAAACAAAAAACCTTCACCCAGAGTTTTTATTAGTGGAGCCACCCGGTCACACGTGAATGTGAAATTACATTGTATTACATGAATAACCCAGCACTTGTGCCAGTTTCTCCCTTTTCTGTGTATAAAGAAACCCCACCTTGGACCGCTGTTAATGGTATCTCTTGATGTACATGTACAGTCTCCACTTTTTATGGTGAGTCTGAAGGGCGCCGCCGTGCGACGGAGGCGGGTCATGCTGATCTACCGCCTCTGTCATATCGGTTGGTGCCTTTCGATCGCCACTCCACTGCTAACATTTTTGCAGTTTTCTTTTCTTATGAGTTAAATATGTCATATGCCCTTAGACCAGAGAGACCATGGAATAATTGTGATATTTCAGATTCGGCAAAATGTTGCATTTTCCCTGCCATTTGGGAGTTTTCATTTTATGAACTTTGACCACGATGGGGACCCAGCGTAGCGTGCACAGAGTTCCACTTTTCTGTACACATTAATGAGCACAAAAACCTCATCTGGCCCCTTGTTTTGTGCACACGGAAAATGCACTAAAAAGTGCTGGACACAGACTCAGCACCGTCAGTGCAAGCGCCCTCTGTCGACGACAAGCCAATAGTCCGGTGCCGCATTTTTCCTAACGTTAATGAATATGTTGTCATATGGATACTATACCGCGGCCGGCCGGCCGCGAACGTTGAAAAAACGCTGTTGTCAGCGTGCATTATGATCGTCGATCAACCACGCGTCAAAACTCAAAATGACTTAAAAAAGGAAGGATATCAGATCAAAGAGCCACTGCACAGCACCCACTTCAACATTCCAAGACCCAAACGTCCAAAAAAAGAGCACTAGAGGTTGCAGCGAAGGTCGCCAAGAGAGCCAGATTAAATCACATGGAAAGGGTGAAAACATCCAAAGATCCATTACACTAGCTCAGCTGCTGAAGTCCATTGACAAGTTTTCCAACCGAGTTATTCGACCAACAAATCCCACCTGGCTTGAATGCAAACAGGAAGTGGTACCTGTTTGAGAGCATCAGAGAGTTTTGTACATGTAGTCTGGCGACAAGAGACATCACATGCCCTCGACCTGATGTACCCAAGCCTTGACATTGTTTTATGATACTCAACAACATCCCACATCAGGATATCATGCCAAGCTTGAACCAATTAACTCTAAGACATGCTGAGGGTGGCTTGGAATTGGGAAAATGTAGCAGAAAGGACTGAAGCACCAAGGTCATTCCAAGTGGGTTTCTTTCTAAGGAAAATGGAGTATTTGTAGACATGATGCAGGGAAGAATGTGACGATACCGGGCTTCTGTTAGTGAAGACTGCATAATCTGGTGCTGCTGAAGTTAGGAAATTATGAGGGTCTTGGAATGATAAATGGTTATGGGAGATCAAATACATCATTAATAGATCGACTAGCATTTTCTTATTGGTTTCCAGTGACTTCCATTGGTTGGTATTAATTATTAATGTACCTGTATTCTTATCTTTATACAGCTTCAATCTTGTTGATGCTGGATTTGGTATAAGGGTTTCCATATGCATATAAATGTATATGTACAGCTTCCAAACTCCAGTCGTGGACGGACTAAGGCTGTATACATGTACACATTCCTTTAAGTCTGCATGTAGGGTACATGTATTAAATTTTCCGACAGTATTAAAGTTAATTCTCTTATTTCTTTCATTTTTACAAATGTATGTTAATCCACTTGCTTTTTTGAATTCAAAATAATTTATATCATTGCGGTTTTGGGGGAAAACTACTCCATTTTTGGCAGAATTTGGCCAAAAAATACAAAAAATTCTCCGGAAAATACACTTTTTTACCCCCAAAATATATAGGTTGCAGTGTAAATTCATAAAGTTTGGTTCAACGATTTAGTGAAGTTGCTTCAATGAATGAGAATTCAAATTGATGAAGTGCCCTCAATGACTCAGGATCAAACCTTGTGTGACTCTTGTGTGTGTTTAATTCAAAAGCCCCTTTCCTCTATTTGTTTTAATTTATGTAATTATTCAAATATGCAAATGAGCTATGTTTGAATGAATTTTCTTAATGATGTACATGTAATGCAAACTAGATGACAACTTAATATCAAAAGACTCCTGAAAATATAAAGACTGTAGCAATTAAGGAACATAGCAGTAACTAAGAAAACACAAAGAGAGTTCACTGTAGCTGTGAAGAATGGCGTAATCATTTTTAAGGGGTGAATTCTCCACTAAGGATATACACAGTTACGACAGTTTTTAGAAAATGTGATAACTCTTGAAGCAAACGTCACACAGGTTTCAAACATACATCAAATTAAAGCTAAAGGTATGCCCTTTCCAGCCATATAACAAGCTCTAATCAAGATTCCCCCCCCCATGTGACTCAGTTTCGCAGAGCCCATCACAAAGACACTGTTTTCAATGGATAAGAACGGCACAAAGAAATCCAGTCCATTCCAGAGATGGTGGTCACTATAGCAACACCATCTTAAGTCTGGGGAGAATTAAAATTGTAATGTTTCACTTCTACTACATCTTAAATTCCTTTGATTAGTGCTTAGAAACATACATGAACCATAGTTACACTAAACATGTTGCATGTTTCTTTCATTAAAGTACAGCTGCAGCTCAACCTCCTACAAAAGTAAGTTGAACAATTACAATGGCTAAATAAACTGTTATGGTAGTTATGTCCACTTTATTTATTTTTGTCCCTATTTTCATGCTCTAAAGATTTCCACATAAATTAAAAAATACTCTATTGCTATATGTCATGTAAGTACTCTCTCTTCAGCTCTTCATTCACAGAAAAGTGCAAAATATTCATGAGATCAATAATATGCCTACCAAGGGGTAATTCTGGATACGTCCCTGTAACTGACGAAAAAGCAACGGAATCGGAGAGGTTGTTATTGACTTTCAGATGGATGGGAATGCACATTATAAGCATGAGCAGCTACTGGGCTACCCAGTTCATGTACCGTGTACACTGTATGTGTTGATCCTGTGCAATGCATCCATGAAGTGATAGCCAAAAATTGAAGTACACATGTATTGGTTCTGTGTCAATGGACCAGGGTTCCGTTCACAGTTGTCGGTGCCGGTAAACCCGCCCAGCACTCGAGATTCCCCAACCACAACTGGTGGAATTTTTTCTTTTTCCGACCACCACAAATTTTCCAGCTTTTTGAACTACATTGTAAAACTGCCTATTTCCTTCCACATATTTTCGTTAACGTGTAAAATGCTGTAATTACCAGTAAAAAAGTTGTATCCAAAGCCTTAAGTTTCGAGTACTTCTTTACTTTAGTTTGAGTCATTTCCAGTGAAATAATCAATACTGCATTGATTTCGCAAAGGTTTCCAGTTACACTGATCATAGCTTTACGCTTGGCATCACATGATACCAGTTTCTCCATGTCACGTACATGTACCCAGTACCCTATTTCCTGGTCTATAATACCACAGAATTTTGAATCGCAGAAAGAGACCACACTATGTCGTAAAATGTTTTTCCACAGCGGTAAAGGCATACATGCTGTGGAATGGCGACCCAAAGCGCAGCCTGCACGTGTCAAGTCACTGCGAAGAGAAGTACGTGCACGCTGTGCATTGGCCTCCCACACACAGTGTGCACACCTTTACCACCGTGGAACGCGTAACATGGTCTTGCTCTGCAGTTCATTTTCTGTTGCATTAAACACTGTATGTATGGAATAGGGGGTATGTCTGTGATGGATTGCACTGAGCCTCAAGAGTATGTGCTGGAGGAAGAAACTGTAAATGGAAAGAAAGTCAAATATACTTATCAGTACATGTATGTACCTATTCTCAAAGTGTTGAAAGAAATATCTTTGTCAGAATGTCTGGACCAGCATAAATTAACCACTAGTAGAACAGACCCAGATCTGTTAGAGGGCTACCGGTACCTATGTGGTGCCACCTTTGCCAGTCAGTTCTTTCAACATCATCCCAATGCCATGAGGGTTTATGATGTATATGTTGATGAGTTTGAGGTTGTAAATCCCTTGGGAGGCAAAGAAGGGCCGCAGCAGAAGATGGCAGCATTTTTATTGTGCGCTTAAAAATGTGGAGTCCAAGTACAGATCAACTTTGAAAAAAAAATCGTGCACTCTCAAATACAAACGTGTGCAGAAGTTTATACATGTTATGACATATTGGAACCTTTGATTACAGACTTAAAATGGGTAAAGACAACAGAGGTACATGTACATGTTTTCTGTGAAATAAGCCATGGGTGTAATAGTTTGTTAAAAGTTTTTGCTGCATTCAGTTTATCCCCCAAGATGGAAAGAAACATGAATAATGTAATGGCTTTGTTTCTCACATGCCACAAGGTCAAAAGGAGAGTCATGTGTAGGATGCTGAATGAATGACTTCAAGAATGTAGTCTTATGTTTATTTCAGTCCTGGAATGGAAAAGGTCACCATACTTACATATATGGATAACCTGTTCTCATCCCCTGACTTGTTTTGTTCACTCAAGGACAATGGAATTTGGAGCGTGTGGCACATTGTGTGTGAACCGGGTTGGCACCCCCCATGGGATCAAGGAGACAAAAAATGAAGAAAGGAGATCCCCTTCGTGCGGTTAGGGATGGTGATCTGTTGTTTTTGCCATGGTTTGACAAAACAGCAAGTCGACATTGTCACCTTGGTTCTCAACCATTCAACATTTGAGGATGTTTGTGCCCGTGAGCAACGGGAACCTTGAAGAGTGGACACACCAGTTGCCATGGAATGCTACACGTACTTCATGGGTGAAGTAGACTGAGCCGATCAAGGCATGTGGTATTACTTGAATATCTACAAAACTCTCAAGTGGGGGAAGAAAGTATTCCTCTGCCTACTTGAAGTTTGCTGCGTGAACAGCTGAATTATATGAAAAACACTTCAACCAGCTACATGACAAAAGCCAGAGAAATTCCGTTATGCAATTTCCTCCATGAGGGGCATATTTGGCCAGACAGAAGACCTGGGGGGAGATCCCTCGACCAGCCGTCATGTCTGACTGAACGGCATTTCTTGAAGTACATCACCGAAGTGACAGCAGCTGGCCCCAAGTCCAGACCAGACTGTACTGTGTGTTCCAACTGCAGCATCGAGTGCCACCAGACTGAGTATGCTTGTGAGGAGTGCGACTTGACGATGTGCCGAGCGCCATGTTTCCACAGATATCACACTCTAGTAGACTGGTATAAAGCCACCTTCTGAGCCAGGCTATCACCGAGTTTCTGTCCTTGCGTACCTGACCCGAACATGTAATTTCAGATGCAGCGTGACTTACAGGTGGGTGAATGCCTCTAGTCTAAGATTGAAGTGTAGAGTGTTTGAAACAGCACTTGCATCTCTGAACATAAAATTTGTAGACAACCAGGGTTCTGTGGTGGACTTGACATACATGTAATAACTTGTCCGTGATGTTCCTGAGCTGATGATGGATGTACTAGAATACAAACCAAACTGTTCCTGCAGCTTTCTCAGTCAATCTAAACGTCCAAAGTAAAGAGTAAACTCTCGAGTATGTATGTACATGTATTTGGGCATTTGTACAGTGTATTGCACATTTCTTTCACAAACTGAAGGCACCCAACCACACGTCTATTGGTTTATTGGCGAGTACAGTCGTGGACAAGTTCGTCAGTGCTTTCTGCTCCAGAGCTAGTGAAATGTATCATATTAATGCCACCAATGAAAGAAGTTTATTGGATACACAGGAGAGTTTACTGTTTACCAGTTGCTAGGCCTGGGGGGGCCAACAGTGACGCAATTTTCAGTTTCACAGGTGGAAGAAGACATTCCGAGAAATCCATCTCAGTAATACTACTTTATAATAAGACAGCAGGTGCTACATGTATCAGCACTAATGGGCAAGAAGTGTATAAATGCACATACATGCAGGCTTTAGGTACACATACATGTATCCAGAGCACAGTCCCTGAACAGTAATTGTCTCTATTCATGAGTCACTGTCTTGAATCAAATAACGGCAATCCTTGTTAAAATTCTCTGAAGGCTTAAGATGTGTTGGAATGAAGATGATACAGGAAAAAATATACAATCCTTGCCCTTTAAGCAATGAGTAGAAAACATGTAAATCCAGCTTCCAAATTATGGATGGACAGTTGTCAACTAAAAAAAACCAAATAATTATAATAACGAGGCTATAACTGTAATTGTAGCAAAATAGCCAGGCTCCTTCCTTTTTCAGAGTGTTTGTAAATAAAGTGGATTTGGGGAGCACAACTGAACACAGCCGACAATTTGGAAAAAAGTTCTCTCATGATCGATTCATACTCAGCACAAATGCAAACATCAACTCCAAATCTATGGCATCGCAGTAAGCAATCCATTTTGTCAATTCAAAAAAGCGGAATGAATTTCACTGCTGCCAAATTTTGCGGCGAATGCCGCATGACACCCAATTCGCTTTCTTCTTTGCCGTGATATATGAAAGCACAATGTAATTCAAGCATAATTTCCTTTCATATCACACACACTGGCAAAAGGTGAGCTTTGCACAAACCTGGGTACTGACAATATATTTGTGCAATACACACCCACTTGGGCAATTATGCCCCTCCTTACTTGGGTCTGTATATACACAGTGTATATGTATAGGTCCAATGTACATAAACGCATACATGTAGATTACGTTAAGAAAAATCACATGATAGCATAATTAGTATCCACAAGTGGTTTCATCTGGCTAGGATAAAAACCAAATTAAGTTCAAGGTAAAAGCAAGGTGGTAACATGTAACATGCTCGAGACCAAACATTCAAAATCTTGCAAACATGTACATGCATGTGCACAAACACGTAACGTTGAAACCTTACAGGTACGTGCATTTACCTCACTGCACCTCATCACCACCACTTTTCGGTATGTAACTGGTCTGGTCTCACCCCCTGACTCTCCAAGAGGGATTCCATATCTGCTATCATGGGTGGGGGGCCACAGAGGAAACACCTAAGCCTGTCTTTGTCCAGCCTCTGCAGTGATGTGGCTAGATCTGCCCCGTTTATCCTGTGATCTGATGGAAAAAAAACGGATCAAAGTCTGTCAGAGTCACAAATCTGAATATGTTAATTCGGAAATCCCGTATTCAAACAAACTGTGCCTTGTGCTTCTTCATGCTCATGCTGTCTTGTGCAAAGACCAAATTTCTGATAGGTCTCGTTTTTGGAAGAAGAAACCTTCTGCTTAAAAACCAACCTACTGTTATCTACAGACATTATTAAAGTGAAAATACGGCAAACTGGCCTAGTAAAAAAAACAATATGGCAGTCACAGCAGAAATAGTGCCCCAATGTCCCCTGGAGCACACCTCACAGGAAAATACGCTTTGTCTGTCGTACCAGAGTACTACCCAATACCCAATGACGTAGTAAAATATACAATATTTGGAAACAACACTTTCAATGAACAAGGGTGAAATCAAGGTGATAGACCCCATGGGTACTTAACTTACGTACCACGGCGAACATCGCTCATGAACTACTGAGCAGTATACATGCATGTTTGATCATTGCTCAACAAATAAAAATTCACAATCTATTACCATGGAATAACAACTGCATTTGTGACATAGATTCTAAAGCGGTTAAGTTATTTTTCCCCAAACACGTTTTATCATCAATTCGTCCATAATTCAATAGCACACAAATGTACGTTTAACTTGCTACACCCTACGGTACAAAGAAAGTAGTCTGGTAAACTGGAATTTTTTCACAGATCAACACTGCACACAGGTGCAAGATACTCTACCTGATGTGTGGCTGGTTGGTATGACCGCTTCCCTGGTGACGTGAAAGTGGCATGATATGTTTTCTGTATCGTTGGCGATCTCCTGAATTGACTCCTGAAATGAAAAGAAGAATATTCTGGTTGAATATTGTTGAATGCGTCACAAGTTTTTTCACAAATACCTTCGCCAGGATCTGTACATACGTGAACATACTGGATGTCTATACATGCATGCCAAGTTTCAAAAGGATTGGCCACTGAGCAGCTGAGTTGGACATCCAATCTCCCCCCCCCCCACAACTTTTTAGAATTAAAGCCAAATGTGTACTGCTGGTTTACTACCCACCAGTGTGTTTCCAAGGAATGCACACCAAAGGATCTTGGAATTAAGACTAACCAAAGTTTCCTGCTATACAAGGCACTGCCCGATGCATGTCCACAGACCTGTGCCTGATGTCACAAATTTGCCAAGCACAGAAAACATTTGCTCAACAGAACCAGGTTACCAACCAAAATTCCATAACATAGATATGCCAGAACAGGTTCCCCGCTAATTTTTGTTAAGCATGCTAAAATGCTTAACAAGAGAACTTAGCAGCCATAGGCTAACTAAAGCTGTCATCAGTTTGTTAAATTCATAGCTAGAGCTCTATTACATTACTAGAGAGCTAACTCGCTGTGCAAAATGAACCAGGTCAAGTTTGTGCACAAACCTATGGAAACTTGGAATTTTGTAAGGCTTTTGTATGGCTATTTGCATATCTGTATTCTAAAATAATGCATCAACAAAGCCAGCATGCTAAAAACCTAAAGGTACACAATCAATAAACAAGTCTTTCATTTGGCTTTTGTAAACAGCGCTAACCAATGTACATAATACGCTGCAGGCAAAACTTGATGCAGTTTTTTAATGCCCCATATGACTGACAGAGAGTGCGCAAGCTTGAATGTTACTTTCATATGCTGTACTTGCCCATTACACTTACAACGTAGAGTACATCCGTCTGAATTTGTTCCAGTCACAGCAATCGAGGAACATATGAATTCAAAATGTCTGTGCTCAGGAAGGCGTCAGGGAGTGAGCAGTTAGCACTCTTGTCATTTAGTAAGTTTTACAACTTCTGTTCACAAGAATTACAAACACACCCACCTTGAATATGAGCTCTTCTGAAGTGGATGCACTGTAGAGAAACTCCACCCTCCCTGGTCTGTAAGCAGTAGGGTCTGACAGACTACGCAGATAGAGATCCCTGGCGTGTTGGAGAATGGAATACATTGGGTTGATGCCGATGCCTCCAGCTATGAGTAGAAGGTCCCAGCTAGGGTCGCTGGGTGAGGGGTCATAAATGATCTGGTCACCGCCCACGCGCACGCCTACCTTGGCACCGGCTTTGCACTACCAAATACATGAAAATAAACTTTAAAAGCATGGAGACACTGCACACAAACAATGGTGAAGTGATAAATCATACCACATTAATCTTAACCTCACTTCATGCATGTCATGCAAATTTATGCAAGTGCAAAAAATCCAACGCCTCGACGTCCTTCATGAAAAACATACATGTATGTAACAACTTCCCAATTGTTCAGGAAATGAAGCACAGTCGTTATGTTCAGTCTGTCAACATTTTGATCAAAGCATCACAATGTGTATGAGCGTTATAAGAATTTCATGAAAATAGCCAAATCAGATTTATCTGCTTAAAAAAAATTCAACGCTCTTATTTTGAAATTTTTAACGTGACCCCTCTACTGTTGAAACATGCCACTCCCTCCCCCCTGTACTTGTAACTTATCCAAGGATCTTGATCATTACCTGTGTATGAACCCAATAAGCTGGAGCATGCTCACTGTACTTCACTGCTAAACCCATTCTCAGACTCTTCTGCAGAAGTGAGGGGGGTGTGTACATGGAATAGCCACCCACCGTTCGTATGCCCGGGATGAAGAAGTCAACCCTTGGAAAGTAGAGACAAAATTGGCACGTTAACAGCGAAGCGGGCGACGCAGAACAGTGTGAACTTTCTAGGCCCCCAAATTTTTATTTCGTCAAACATCACATACGCAAAATTGTGCGCACTTTCAATTTTATGTATCCCAAGATTCCATACACACTTTGGAAGTACAGTGAACCTGCCAGCTTTCTAGCCTACTGCAAACACTTTAATCATTAATCTAAAAACTAGGCTTGAGTTATTGTTTGGACTATTGATTACTGCATACAGGAATACTTTCTCTGCTGTGTTTTCATGGTTTAATACTGGTTTCCTAATTTACAGTATGGTATGTGTTGATCAATTAATTTTTTGTTAGATTCCTTGTCCTTTTAAAAAAAAATTCTGTGCACTTCTTTTCTAAACCTGTCTACGGTAGTTTGTTCTTTGAATCAACAGAACTACAGTTGAATTTTTAAAGATTACGAAAAAAAATGCATCAAATAAGGTAGAATATACCTTTCGGGTACAATCATGGAATCTATCTCTCAAGTTCTTTAAATTAGTGTTGTTCTGAAAAAAAAAACCGTGTGAGTGTGCTCAACATTTCAGACAGCATACTCTGCCCACGTACACGATCCAAAATGTTGAGTACACTCTCAATACCATCTCTTTTCAGACCCACACTTCTTTAAAGAAGAGATAGATTCCACGGTTGTACCCAAAAGCCATCATCTACCTTACCGCATCAGTGTGATGCGCAAAGCTTCAAATCAAACTTGTGTATCAAATTGCCGACAGGTTGCACTGTACTGTACCTCCGTGTGAACCCACATGGTGGGTGGATAGTCACTTTTCTTCACAGCAAGGTCAAAGGTTACATCTTGCTGGAGTTTGCTTGGTGCTGAGGTCATGGAGAAGCCAGTGAACAGCTCAACGCCAGGGATGAAAAAATCCACCCTACAATGGATGGATAATGAGTGATGCTATAAACACCTTGCTTGTGATCCTGGAAACTCTTCTTTTTCCAACTTCATGTTTATTTTTCAAAACAAGATGACAAGTTTCGTGTTAAGGGCACCATTAATTGACAAAAGATTCCTTGTATACATTACATGTAAGTTACATGTACTTGAAAAAACATGGAATAAGGAGGGAAAGTGTTAGAAATCTTACAGCAGATATGCCAAATAACAGCTACATGTATCCTTTTTGATCAAACATAAACAAAAATAACATTCATCTGTTTTGCTAGTGTGATGAATACCCTAACCATAAACACAAGTCTTTTTCTGGCCTTGCATGTGAAATTTAAATATATACAAAGACATACCATTGCCCAGCTTTGAAGCGGAAATCGGGGTTGGAGACTTGCACTGTTAGGAGCTTGACTGTGGATGAGCCATCTTTCACTGCCACAATGGTTGCATCACTAATTCCCTGTGAAATAAGGAAACAAATGTGACTGTAATGCCACTTAAGTTCAACAAGCCAGTTTAGCCTTTCCGTGAGGCAAGGTCACCAGGGTAAACACCTGCCAAGTCTGTAGTCCAGGACAGCCACACTTATTTATAAGAGCAGTTCCAAACTGCACATTACAAGTTTGTGAGTATTCACACCTGTATGCATGCTACAACTTTACAACAGCCTTGCAACTCATTCATACTGGGTATGTTCACAAACAACAAAGCTTGTTTACAACTGTACATACATATTGACAGTGGACTTTTACCCAATGCCACACGAGCACAACACCGTGTTCACTCGAGCGTGGGCCGAGAATAATTGATGAAAAGTGGCTATAGCCACTTCCCGGTGCGAAGGGGTTAAATGAGAACATATACAGTGTATTTATAAATCCAAAATGTGAAGTTACTGATGTCTGTATGGGGATTATGAAGTATGAACGCGTGTCAGACAGACTTCAGGCGGATACCAGACCGAAGCACATCAGACAAATTTCCAATAATCTTTCTCAAACAAGGGCAAGAAGTTAACTTACATGTACATGTAATGTGTTCACCACTTACATGTATGCCAAATTGACAATTAGTGCATCTAAAAGCAACTTTCAGTAAAATCAATTTTCCTCAAACTTTGTGTTGCAGTTCACAGAGTGATTCCCTCTGACACCTTGACACATTTTTTTTTGTCCAACATGGTGTGGACTTCAACTGGGCCTCACTATAAATACATGTATTATGAGAGCTACTCAGTGTTACATGGAGCAATGACAGTTGGGGGTCCACTCAATAGTCCAAAGATTCAACAGTACGAATGCAAATTTCCAATAGCCAGGCATTCGTTATTCTGAAATAAAAGAGGTAAGCTAATCCAAACATGTGGTGAAGTAGTCCTACAGTTTATTAACCCTAACCCTCCTCAATCCTTCACCTGTTGGAAGACTGAGGAGTGTTAGGGTTAATTAAACCAAAAGTTCGAAGATTCAAGAAGTCCCAGATAACACAAGGTTCAATAGTCCAAAGGTTCATCAACATCAACCTTAACCACCCTAGGCCTTTATGGCTAAGATACACCCTCAATCCTTTAAAATCCTCCAATTTCCCCATAAAGAAATTGGATACAGCCTCAGTCCTCCAACATCCTGCAATATTTTTTGCATACGCTCTATGGAGGGGTGCTCACTGCCTCAATCCTTCAAAATCCTCCGGTAATTCCTCTTTTCATGTCTAAGCAGTGTGAATGGTATCCAGGAGCAGTATGGAGGATTTCACATACAACTGGGCATGAATTTACGCATGGATGAACATAAACAACACAACATCTAATACACAGCCTGGGAACAGTGCATTCTTCACAATTAGCAATTTTGCCATGCAGCCTCAATCCTCCAAAATCCTCCAAAACTGCCCAGAGGATTTTGAATTATTACCGAGTACCAGCTGAAAGGGGTCTGCATGTATGTATGTATGTATTTTCCAGTCAATGACCCTCCCCATGAATGAACCTTTGACATTCAGACTACTGAACCTTCTGACTATCCGCCGTGAGCAGAAGCACACCCTCATTGGCTGAAAAGAACCATGTAGGTGGGAAGAATTCATTTTGTTGGTAGGATGTGACCGTAACGCATGTACATGTATTTCACAGTCATTCGTGAACCAGTGAAGTGCAGTTCCCACTACAGGAGCTTCTGTTGCTAGGAAAGTTATTTACCCCCTTTCTTGGTCCAGCTCGGAGCTCACTGAGCAGAAACAAACTGTTAATCTTTTTGACATTGAGCTGTAATTTTGGGTAATTTTTAAGTCCAAGGCAGCTCATTCTATTGGGGTCATTCCATGAGGTTGGGGCACACTTTGTGACGGTGCCCATTGCTACATGGGTTCCATAAAAATGAACAGCTATTTCATTGCATGTGGATTCCAAACTGACATTGCTATACATCTTGAAAGGCTGAGTATCCGCTCCATCCGCTCCAAGCAGGAACAAAAAAGGCGTCTTTTGAAATGAAACAGTCCTTTGGTACTCACGCATCGCATAGGGGACGTACTGACTTGTTCATGGCATGCTAATAAAGAATAATGTGGAACTGATAAACTAAGTCATTAGTCAAATTTATATTTTAAAGTCTGAAAAAAATGTTTTTAAATTCAGAATAACAAATATATGTACATAAACATGTACACGTACAATACATAGGCTCTACAAAATTAATACAGCTTTTTGTATCTGTTAACTTCTGTCCATCATGACTTTCAGACTTTTGAAACATGCCCAGTTACAAGTACACACAACCGAACAACTCAAAGGCAGAGTTACATGTAGGCCACATTATGTCCTTACCGTCTGTCTAAAGTTGTGAGCTGTTCTATCAAGGTGATCACTCATCCTTCTCGTCAGTCTGCTCAAAACCATAAAAAGTTTGAAAATACAGACAATTTCAAGTGTTGTGAACATTATGCTTTACACACATGCACATGTACATCTGACTAGTGCATACAACACAGAGACATAGGAAAGGAAAGAAATTGCCAAGGTAACTTCAGTAGAACAGCACATGTAGAATAACTTTCATGATTTTACTAAGAGTTCTATATCCAGACACTGCCTGATACCCTGTGCACAAACCATATTATGAGACTGGTCTGAAAACTTTTGTTTTCTAGGAAAGACTTGGTATTTTCCTTCCTGGATTGAACTTTTCTGGACATATGTTTGCTTTCTGGTGGATAACAGGTCACTGTACAGAATAATTACTGGCCTCCATTATGTCAGCCTTATTATTAAACTCTTTCTCAGTAACAAGAACATGTCTAAATTTGCCCTCTTTTGTGTTTTTTTTCGACACGCTAGGCTCACTCTCTCATGGCTGATTTACATCGACATGCGGGCAAATGCAAGGCCTACGACCGTAGAAAAAAATGAGTTAGGCCTATGTCCATGATTAGCCCCACACGTGAACTGCTCTCAACAGTCATGACAATTATTAAATGTTACAAGAGCCATTTCACAAATCACAGCCCTTAAGTTGTGGAGCTAGTCCACAGGCCTACTGAAAAACAATGCTTACGCTTTGACTACGGGAGAGATTGGTTTCGAACTCGAAGTTGGACACAGTAGGCCTGCAGGAGAACGAATTAAATAGGAGATAGTCCTAAAGCTCATCCTCATGAATGTCAACAAGGTCAAAGTCTACATGTATCAAGGTCTAGAGCATGTGTGTACTTGTGTAGAGAGCTCGAGTTCAAAACAACCGTGCGATTCGCAGAAAACAATCGCTCGTTGTGTAAGCCAGATGCATTCAGTCTGCATGGATAACATACCACTGCACCAGCAGGCCCCGTGTGGCGCTGCTCTGCTGCATACGAGATGACCTTTGACCTAACAAACCATCGATCCGGGTGGCACTTCAGCGCTTGAACGCCCAGATAATAATTGGCCTTAGTTCTTTACACAAAATACACCAGATGAAATCGGGTTGAACCATAGTAGAACAAAAGACAAACGTGTTGCTACCTTCGTGATCGAATCACCCACATTCGAACCACAAGCAGAAAGTCCAAATGTTGAAGTTTACTGTTGATATTAAAAATGCTCCATATTTTCGATTATAAATAAGCTGACTTGTCTGTTTCAATTTTTTTCATTAAAAAGTCCCACTCTTGACGGAGAAATGATGTCTCTTTTAGTATATGGCAGAAAGTTAAAATATCAAAACTATACATGTAGGTCTATGGTAACATTAAACGTTTACTTCAATCACATCTAAGTACTCACATTACATTCAGTAAAACTCGGATTCTAGATAAGAAGCTGAATGTTTGCACTCAATGCTATGATTAAATAAATAAACAGAATCAATATGATAGAATTCAAAAGAGTTTTATAAATCTACCACAAAGACCAAAAATAGAAGAGAAATATAATTACATGAGAAACTGAATGAATAAAAAATTGATTTGGATTCAACGGGGTGAAATAAAAAGCAAAATAAAAAAATGATTAATAGGACGGTTGTGGTTGGATTTTTCCATTAACTGTGAAAACATCTTTGGGCCATTGGGCATGAGACCGAAGAAAACCCGTCTTCAATTAAATAGATAACCAGTACTTGTTACACACCTAAAATAACATTTCAAATCGAACTGCAATTGTAACACAATCGACCTACTATTTCAAATAAGGATTCCCTGTTAATATTGCACAGAGATACCTGCCCACAAAAAGAAATAGGTTGAAATCATTGAGTTATTAACTGTTTTCGCTCGTATCAAAGCAGCAATAAATGTTTGAGGAAATCAAAACTGGTCGCATATTAAGAGTCTTCTTTCCTCGGGGTGATCTTTCATTCGGTAAACTCCGTGTAGTTTATGTGTTGGCCCTCTCTCCGCTGTTGTTTTCACATTTAATACAGTGGTAATGATAATTCATTCGATGACAGGTGAATGTTGTAGTCTATCCATGAAGTAATGGGCATTCGATCTGTCAGATGAGTCGAATTATTCATAATATGAAATATCTGTATCAGATCTTCTTCGTGCAAACTTGAAAGTCGCCATTCGCCTTGACTAACTGCTGAGAACATTGCAGAGCGGCACCCCCTCCCATTTCCCAAGAGCCTGGCGGTTTGTAATGCTGTCTTATCTACCGACAACTTACAAGAACGACGGATGAAAAAGCACAATGATGCCAGATGCAATCGTTATGGGCCTATAGGCCTTTGAAAAAGTGACCAATGTGGGCATTTCAAAATGCCATTCCATTTATATTCGCGAGAACACTATTTATTTGCGCGTTGAAAAGTTTTCAGACCAAGAAAAGTGAGAAGTGAAGACAATCTTTTCGGTCATTACGTTAATTGTAAGTTGTTGGTACAGTACAAGAGCGTGGAGAAGAAATGCAAGTGTAATTGGACCAAAATTATGAGACTCTTCCATTTCCAGTTCAGGGAGGAGCACTGCAGATTACTTAACCTTCAACCTTAATGTCAATGAACTTTAAAGGTAAACATGGCGACGCTCATGAAGAGTGACAAACGGAAGGTCTCTGCACAATTAAAGACTGAAATAATCAGAAATACGGGACATCATCAGCTGCACGAATTGCTAGACAATGTTCTTGATCCGAGGACTTCACTGGAAAAGAGTGAAAACCTGGAATGGTGTCGATCGCTGATTGCAGGGGGCGGAACGTTCGAGGAATTCGCGAAGAATGTTCGGCAGTATGACAATGCGTCAACGTGTGGTCTGGTGTGGACGTCAAACTTCGTTGCGTATAGGTACATGTTTAGTGATACTTCTGAATTCTCAGAAAATTGCCTACGAGTTGTAATAAAACTTGTTCATTACCGCAGCTTAACCCTGTACACATGACACAAGGACGACTTGGTAACACTGACAGGTTGTTTCTGATGAGTGACCATGATGCCCATAATGACTGGGGCAAAAATCAAAATTGGACACTGGGCATACCTGGTATTAGAGTTTAACGTTAGACTTGAAATCAAAATCAAGTTGGTAATGGGCTGGGTGTAGCCTAGCCCCACTAGTGTGGCACGGACTGTCACTCCCAATCTATCCTTATATATTTATTGAATGATTTCACTCATGCTATTCAGGTATTTTCCAGTCTTTTTGCTTTTATCCATTCAATCTAACAGGCTCGCTCTCTCAGTCGCCGTCTTTAAAATAAGGCGTTGAGCATTACGTCACTTGACCCCTCATCGTCAAGATAACTAAACTGCTGCCAAAGTTTTGGAAGAGCCGTCGAGACGATGAGGGATCAAATGACGTCATGCTCAACGACCTTATTTTAAAGATGGCGACTGAGAGAGCGAGCCTGTTAGATTGAATGGATAAAGGCAAAAAGACTGGAAAATACCTGAATAGCATGAGTGAAATCATTCAATAAATGGTTTTTAGAAAGCGGAAAGGTCAAGAATCATGTTCGTGTGCAAAAGAAATTGCGCCCACAATGATAAGTGGGTGCGCCGGAATGTTCAATACGCCGACATGAAATTGCGTAGACGGATGTGTGGCTAAGGATAAATCTGGAGTGATCCGTGCCACACTAGTGGGGCTACTACTCTGTAGGCCTTACTGCACTCTATGTGTTTGATGGTTCTGCGCGCCATGGCATTTGAAAGCTGCCCAGTATTCATACCAGATAAACATCCGTTTGCACTTGCTTGAGCAAATTTCCCCTTAAAGGCCCTATAATAATAGCGAACCTATATGGAACCACCAAGTTTGATTGTATTTTGTGACGTTTAACCTATAGTATTGGAAAAAAAGGAGGTTTTTTCTATCATCCTCATCTCTCATCCCTCGATAATTGGCACACATCTGCATTCTCTGTGGCCGTACATCATATGACAACAACAGGCACAGTCCCAATCATTCCCTCTACTCTTGTTAAAAGTATGTATAGAGACGTCTTGGAAATCTGTGGTCAGGGAACCACACTAAAAAGATATTGGCTATCACAAAAAAGATAGTTTATAGATATATTCTTGAAAAAATATGCAGACTTTGTCTTTAAGTGTCTTATTTAACATGTTAAAAGGGATATCAATGTAAGATATGAAAGAAATTGGCACTTATCAAATATAGACATCCCTATATATAGAATGGATGAGTCTGTTATGTAGCGTCTGCTACTATTGGCACTCTCCATAGAAATGGAGGAATATGCAGTGCAGTTGTTGCAAGCATGAATATTCATCCAGGGTCAAATTGATCAAGTCATCAGGCAGGCACAGTGGGGTCGTGGGCTGATGTGCGCTGAAAACTGGTACTGAACAGCCCACGACCACGCATCATTTCCGGGCTGAATCAGCCCAGCACACTGGATCGTGGGCAACGATGAACAGGCTCAGCATTAATTTTGTAAAACGACGTAGCTTGCTGGGTCATGTTGTTCTGGATGACAAACACGACTGACTAACGACTTGATTTCAAGTCTAGCCTGGTATCTGCCCTCAACTTAAGTTAAAGTTTATACCCTCCTAAATGGAGTCTAGGATGTTATTTCCCTCACTATTTGTGTTGGTCAGCAGCTTAAAACCCCATCTCTATCATCAAATCCTGCAGTAGAGGCACACATCACAACTCAGAGACTGTCCCTAAATTCAGAGAAGTTGGCTTATTTGGAGATAAAAACAATCCCCTGAGAGATTCATGTCTCCTTAAAAGGGGAGGGGCATTTTTCCCAAATGGTCTTGGGTCAAAAATAGTCACAAGCTATTATCAATTTTTTCTCCCATATTTTCCATTCATCTAAGTTACTTCAATGTCTGTAACTTGTTTTGTGCCATGTCACTTGATTTAGATTGATATTCAGAAAAGTTGTTTTGATATAGTCTTTTTTCCACCCTTTATGTCCCATTGCAGACTCCATCTTGTAATTCTAGAAGTAAACAGGAGAATTTTATTAAATGGCACTCTTGGGTGTTTTCTTCTGTTGAATCCAATTATGGCATTAAAAGGATCCCCAGAGCAATGGCAGGATCACCAAGCCCATTTGAAAAAAAATTGTCCCCATTTAGAGGTACATTCTCTCTTATGGGGGACTGACTTTTGTCTCCGAATAAAGGGACTTCTCTGAGTTTAGGGACAGTCTCGGAGTTATCATGTCTGTGACTCAGTCGTGGTAGGGGGGATGATGCCACTCATGCCAGGCAGTTGAGCTAGGACTCATTCCCTGACCCTGCTGACTCATTTAAAGATGAAACAGTTACGAGCAGGTATTTTCAGTTTCACTTTGGTTGTATTTATGGCACCTTTTTACCAGTTTTTTACCAGTTCATGCCCAAAAACTTTCAGTATTTTGCCAGGAGGTAAACAAAATCCTGGCTATGCCCCCACTTCTGATAGTTTTTGCAAAGTGCACATAGTGCACCTTTTAACATATTTGACAATTTAATGGAAACAGAAAACACCAGCTCCACTCTCTTAGTCAAAGAATAAATCCAACTCTGGACTCTTTTTAAAAAACATTCATTTTGACAGCTCTTTTTTTTTCCAAAGTTTCATCATAACTCCCCCTCCACCACCTCCAGTTAAAACTCCACGAGGAGTATTTTGGAGGAACTGCAACCAAGAACCAGCTCTGATGGCAAATTTTCCCAGGTCATCAGCCACAGATCTAGAGTGAGGTTTTCTAAGGTACACAATGTAGCATCATGGATGGAGCAACGAATCAGCTTAGTTTTGTTCCTGGTGGATGTGAGCTGCAGAGACTTGACAAGTGAAAGACTAGTACAAGACATGACTATTACAGTAATTGTAACAGTCTTGAAGTCCAGTGCATTGGAAGTCTTTGCCAATTAGTTATTTGGCCTCTTTTCAAGTCACAAGCTAGGTGAATGAACTACTTTGGAAAACAGCAAACTCGTTTAAAAATACTGCAGACTGCTCATCTCTCTTGACATTTCTTCCACACACATTTACATCTAGATGCCGAACGTGTGGCATATCCCCCTGCATGTCGATCTGTGCAGACTGCTTTCATGGTGGAGATCACACTGACCATGACTTCAATATGTTTCGAAGCCAGGCTGGAGGGGCTTGCGATTGTGGAGACCCTAACGTGATGAGGAGTACAGGGTAAGCTTTGCAGTCGTTTGCCTGACTGAAACGTTAGTGCTCATTCATTGAATGGTTTTAGGTATCACTGAAGTGCTGGCGACCAATCGCCACAGAGTTCAAATAAAAAAAAAAAACAAAACAGTTCAAGAAAGTTCATTGAATCTTGGGCATGGTCACTGACCTACTGAGCGTATTATGATTGGGCCAGCACACCCATAGTCATCACACGTACATACTTGTAACAACTGCGATAAAAACCAACTCTAACAAGCTTCAGCAGCCAGCGGCCAACAGCGTCCAGCATTCATCATTGCACAACCAACTACAAACCAGCCTTAATTGCAGCTTGGGCCAATTTCATAGAGCTGCTTAAGCATGAAAAGACCTTGCTTAAAAGAGAAAGGTTATCTGCTCAAACTATATGTGATTGTCATGCTAAGCAAAAAACAGCTAAATGCCATTAGAAAACTATGTACATCACATGAAGTGTGGCTGGTAACCTGATTTATCAAGCAAGGTATTTTCAAGCTTAAACAAATTTTGTGCTTAAGCAGCTCTATGAAATTGGGCCAGGTCGTACGGAAAGTATGCATATATATGGAATGGCAGCTTTGGCAGATTTGGCCTGGGGAATTCCAATGTGATTGTGCAAGTGTGATTAGGGAACCAGAGCTCTAATCACTATTAAAATTTAATTCACACGGCTCATT